TATTTTATGTGTATAATAATGTATTACCTTATAGATAGGTATTTACACTACTTACAACTTTTTGGTAAGCAATGTTGTAATAAGTATACTTATACATATGTATATATGTGACATTTATGTTAGTATCCTTAATGCATAAATGTATACTATACAGCCTTAACATCTGCCATCTATACTAGTGGCCCAGTGCACAAAATCCATGCACATTAAAAAGGAATTAATTAGAGGAGATATTTTAATATTGCTCCCGACGCTGCCCACCTGTCTGGTCCCTGGGTGCAGGTGAATGGGATTCCTGGCTGGCAGGCTGCTGACAGAAAGCTGACCATGGCAGATTCACAAGGGATGGGGCTCCCGCCGCCCAGCTGTCAAGGTCCAGGGTACGGTGAATGGGATTCCTGACTCTCGGGCCTCTGACAGCAAGCTGACAAACCGCCCTGCTGTCTGGGTCCTGGGTGCGTGCATCCGGCTCCCTCCTCCCTCTTATCAGAGTCTGGGTGGGCGCACCAGCACTGTGAGACCCAGTCAAGTCCGCGCCACCTGTGAGAGCCTCAAAATCGCCTGAGTCCCAGACCGGCGGCACCCATGGGGAATGCAGAGTCAGGTTCCTGCACTCGCCCGGGGCCTCACTGTACACCAGTCCCGCCCACCGTGCACACCTGCTGCTGTGCACGCAGCTTCATGGCCTCCTGGTGACTGGTTGTTACCGGCGAAGTTGTCATGACCACAGGCTTTTTATACTATAGAATAAAATACATATAATGACCTAATGTATGTTTTATATATATAGTAACATATAATTGATGTCCTTAGAATGTGTACGTGTGTGTGTACACCCAAGTCATGTTTTCCTGTAGGATCTAGTTCTCGAAGTGAAGCTATTGGGATAAAGCAACGACATACTTAAAGTTTCAAAACCAGCTCAATTACCCTTTGAAAAAGAGGTGCCAATTTTATGTGCCAGTAGTGCAGGGTAGTGCCTTTTCCTCCCATGTGCCAATTCTGGCTGTTATTTTTAAAATAAAATATTTATCATTTTAAATTCAAAAATTGGTATTTCATTGTTGATTTGAATTTTTCTGATCAATCTCCCCAGTAAAAATATAAAATGTGCTAATCATGAATATTTGCACAAATTGGAATTTGTTTTATAGGAAAGGCATAATTACCTACTATTAAACACTGCTGTAGGCTTACCTGTTAGGATCTTCACTCTCCGTAACAGGAAGCTGCTGCGTTTCAGTCTGTTCACTTTTGCTCTGCTGACTCCGTGCATCACTGTCAGCAGCAGCAGCAGCAGACACGCTTCCTGACGCTTTCCTTTTCCTGCTTTCCTGCTTCTTTATTTCTTCTTCAACCTTGGATGAAAGTTTGATATTAAGGACATTGTTATGACCTTAGTCATTAAAAAGACTTTTTATGTTTCTATTAATCTTATCATTTGGCTCTTCGTTCAATTGCCATGACTTTAATCAATAAAAATATTTTGTGTTTTTATCATTATAGGTCATTGAAGCTGTAAATTCTGCTTTATTTCTGTTTCAGTAAAGAAGCAGAATTTTTCAAGATTTTTTAAAGACTGTCTTAAGTTTGTGCTCTTATTCACATCACATCCACTCTTTGATACCTAGCATTCCCCTTACCCACCCCACCCCATTTATCTAGCAGAGACTGAGAAGTAAAAGGACAGAGATGCAAAGAGTGTCCTCGTCTTGCATTACAGCCAGATTTAGGGGATGTGACATTGTGCCTCCGAAACAAATAGGAAGCTTTCCTCTTTCTGCAGGAAGCTATTTCCTCCCTCATTGCCTTTTACAATTTTTTTCTTTAAGATCTTTGAGGGTATATAAAAAAAGAAGTGGTAATATTCATAAAACATATTAACAGAAGTTTACCATAAAACTGGAGCAGAGTGAAATCAATGAATTGTTGGTTATTGTACAATTCTTAAAAATGAGTAATGCTCCCCTAATGTCACATACAATCACTATAAAATCTTATAGCTAGAGAACATAGAAGTAGTTATCTACTTACTTTACCACATATTTACTTATAACGGAAATAAAACAAGGTTTAATGATCTGTACAAAGTTCCTAAACATGCATCACTTAGCATTCTATGCCACCAAAAGACAGGCTATCTAATCTATAATAATAAAAATGTAATATACTAATTATACCGGTTCAGCAGAACACCTTCTGGACATCCTTCCTGATGAAGCCTGTGTGTTATGGGCCAAGGCAGAGGCAGTTAAGAGCAATGAGGCAGGCAGGCAAGTGGTTAGGGTGATCAGGCATGCAGGTGAGTGATTAGGGATGATCAGACAGGCAAGCAGAGTGGTTAGGGGCAATCTGGAAGAGGAAGTTAGGGTTGATCATGCATGCAGAGTGGTTAGGAGTGATCAGGCAGGTAGGCAGAGTAATTAGGAACGATTAGGCAGGCAGGCAGGCAGGCAGGTGAGGGGTTAGGAGTCAGGGGTCCTGAATTGCAAGAGGGATGTCTCACTACTGGTTTAGGCCCAATCCCACTGTGGGATAGGGGCTAAACCAGCAGTCAGACATCCCCCGAGGGGTCCTGGATTGTGAGAGGCTGCAGGCTGGACTGAAGGACCATCCCACCCCGTGCCCGAATTTTGTGCACCAGGTCTTTAGTTCTATATAATAAAAGCCTAATATGCTAAGTGTCTGGTAGTTCAGTCAACCATTCAACCAATCAAAGTGTAATATGCTAATGATATGCTAAAGCCACTCAACTGCTCACTATGATGTGCATTGACCACCAGGGGGCAGACAGTCAACCAGCTGACTAGTCTCTATGATGTATACTGACCACCAAGGGGGCAGACAGTCTGACAGGTAGGCTAGCTTGCTGCTGGGATCCAGCTGACTGGGACTGAGAAAGATGGTCAGGACATGTCCTGGAGCCATCTGGTGGTCCCTCCCCACCTAGCCAACCTCCCGTGTCCCTCCCCAGCCCCTATCATGCACCAGTAGAGTCCCTTGGCCTGGCCTGTGCCCTACTGTAATCTGGGACTCCTTGGGATATGTCGAAGAGCCCATTTTGGCCTGATACTGCAGACCAGGCTGAGGGATCCCACTGGCACACGACTTTGCACACTGGGCCTCTAAAAATTCTGCAGTGCTGAATCAGATAAATAAACAGGAAATTTCATCGAATTAACCAGGCAAATTAAGTATGACTTTTGAAAAGTAATTTAATGCCTTAGTGTAATGAGAGGGCTCATCCACTTTTTCTTATAAAGGAATTTAATGTATTAAAATTTTTCTACCTCAAAACTCAGGTTCTCTTTGAGACAAATATTGAGTCTATGGCAAATAATTTATGTGACCTGTATGATACATACATGTCAAGATGATAATTGCCATGCTTTTATTTTTGGAAGGTATTCTACATAATGTTGAATGTGATCTATCCATTATAGTTCACATTCAACATTATTTATATTAGTTTCAGTTGTGCCTCATAGTAGTTAGACAATCAGATACTTTACAAAGTGATCCTCCTGATATTTCAAGTGTCCACCAGACACCACTCATACTTTTACAAGACTAGAGGCCCAGTGCACGACATTAATGCACTCAGGAGGGGAGGACCCTCAGCCTAGCCTGAGCCCTTTAGCAGTCTGGGAGCCCTCGGGGGATGTCCCAGAGTGGGCCTAAGCCATTACTCAGACATCCTTAGTGCTGCGGCAGAGGCGGAAGAAGCTCCCTCCACCACCGCTGCACTCACCAGCCTTCAGCCCTGCTTGTGGCTGAGTGGTGCTCCCCCTATGGGAGCGCACTGATCACCAGGGGGCAGCTCCTGCATTGAGCATCTGCCCCCTGGTGGTCAGTGCGCGTCATAGCAACTGGTTCTTCCACCATTCAGTCGATTTGCATATTACCTTTTTATTATATAGGATGATTGACTATATTCTCTATGCTGAACTTGACATCTCTGTGACCATTCTGTAACTACCATTTTGTACTTCTTACTACCTTTACTTTTTGCCCAGACTACTGACTCCCTTTCCTCTCACATCCATCAGTCAGATCTGTTACCTATGAGTCTCTCTTAAAGTGCTTAGTTCATCTGTTTTGCTCTTTACATTCCACTGACATATTTCACTTAGCATAATGCCCTGTGGGTCCACCCATGTTGTCAAAATGGTAAGGTTTAATTTTTTTTTAATGGCAGTACCATACTTTATTAAACAACATTATGTAAAGCTTTGACTCAACAAACATATCTGAGAGTGGTGATAAAAATATATGTTTGTTAGTAAAATATCTCAATAAAATTGCAATGATGATGTACTGTGCAGGCTGGTACTTGGAATATTGGGGAGACCAATTTGTAAAGTATATGATTATCTAACCACATGTGAAACTAATACAAAATAATATTGAATGCAAATCGTAACAAAAATGAAGTGAAAATATCTTGAAGTGATCATATCAGAATTCTAAGTTCCAAGGTTTTGAGTAAACCATAGAAGATTGCACACACTATAGAACAAAATAGATGAGTTTAGCTGGGGATATTTGTTTATGTCCTTTCTCCCACTCAGAGCTTCCTTCCCTTTTATTGTTTCTGGGATGCATTTTATGGTGTGTTTTTTTAAAGTTGATTTTAGGAAGAGAGCATGGGAGAGGGATAGAAACATCGATGAAAGAGAAACATTGATTGGATTCCTCCTGCACAACCTCCACTGTAGATCCTGCCACAACACTGTGCTTAGACCCTGAAGCATTGATTAGTCAACTGGTCAATTGATTCATGGATCAATGCTCCACCACTGAGACACACTGCCTGAGCTATAAGATGTAATGCAAACTTAAGCCAATGGACTTAAAAACAACAACAGCATAGTACTTATTACATTTTAAAACCATTTCCTTTATACTTTACCCTGGCTCATAGTACATAGCTAAATTAGTTGCCCAATTTAGAGGAAAGACTGATGGAGAGACTTAAGTCATTAAAGAACAAGAGAATATTTTCCTAAACTCCTGTTATTTAGTTGACAGAATCTATTTATATACACAATTGCATATTTAGACAACCATTTTACATACAATTTTTCAGAACTGGAAAATCAGAATGGACTAGAGAATTGATAAAGAGAGAAAACAAAGAGTAGCAGCAAGTGAAATTCTACCTCTTTTTGACGTTGAACTTTCTCTTTTTTCAAAGCCGAGCTCACTGCTTTTAACATGTTTACATCATCCCTAAGCCTTTGTATATCTTGCTGTAGTTCTTCAATTACAATTCCTCCAGGTGTTCTGTCATTGTGCAGTACAGAGGAACTCTTATCTTTTAATTTAGAGTCCGTTATTTTATAATAATTAGCATTGAAATTATCTGCACATAATGGCTCCTGGAACAAGTCTTCATTTGTCTTTGTTTCCTTATAAGTATTTGTAACAGAAGGCATAGCGTGGCTTTTTATTTCAGTGATGAGTTTTGCTTCTTTGTGGCAGGGATGCTGCAGTTTAAGATGGCTTTTTGGATCATGAGACTGAGGTGTAGTTTTTTGTCTAATTTCCAATCCATGGTATTTGGGTTCATATTTTTTGTTTAATTTCCAATCCATGGTATTTGGGTTCATACTTTTTGTCATCCGCATAGCAAGCTTTTGGTCTTCTTTCACTCCAGACGTAACTACGGGGGCCCTTGCTTTGTTATTTTCTGTTTCATTATAAAAACTCTCCTCATTTTTGTTCAAAACATGTTCAGCATTAGGTTTCTGATAATTTTCAGAATGTAATTCCTTTTCTCTTAAACAAAGCTCAGAAGAGGACCAGGGAGAGTCTTCCAGAGATCCAGGGTTTGCAAGAGATGGAGAAACAATTTTGAGAGTGTGTTTCTCTCATTTAGAGAATGTTTGTAATGCTGCAGAGATAGACATTCCAAATGTATCTTTCCCCTCACAATCAAGCATTTTACTTGTCAAATTAGAAGGCATTTGTCTTAAGCTTGCTCCTTCTTTAGAGTTATCATGTAGTGGCTCTTCCTCAGGGCACTCAGTCATTTTTAATTTTACAGAAAATTTATGTGAGTTCAGCTTTGACTCATTTTTGGAAGGTTGTACATTCTTCCTCTGCTCTAATATGCCTTGTTTGATGCAAATTTTCTTACCCTTTCCTCAGAAGGGTGTCCTGAATATGCAGATGTATCCTCTTTGTCACATGCCCTATTTATTTGTGATTCTTGAGTCATTTTTTCTAGATGCAAAGGTGGATGATGAATATGCTTGCTTGGATTTTTAGATGTCTTTGCTGTCCGTATGTGTTTCTGAAATAACTTTATCCTGAAATAGTCAAGTATGGACAAAGAAAAATTAGAATTTAATTTACTTATTATTTACTGTTAGAATTCTTAATCTATGACTACCTATTCCCAAAATCAAGGAATTGTAACTGAGAAGAAAAAAAAAAAGTAAAAGAAAAACTTGCCTTGGTCTAAATTAAAATAAAAGCATGTGACTTCAAACCTAGTTGTAAAACTATTGGAATCAAAGAATTCATTAGATTTTAAATCTATTAGGAACAAATTACTAGCTGAATTTTAACATTACAATGCCTTCCTCATTTAAAATATTTCACCTCACCATATCCTAAATATTTAGTCCCTCCAGTGCATTTCAGAATTTTTTAGGGTGATCCAAGATGGAGGCAAAGGAGGTGAAAGTTATATACATTTCTTCAGTGGACCAGATTGGAATTACAACTCAATTATATAACTACTAACTGTATTAACCAAATGAAGATTAGTTGAATATCAGTCTTATAACAAAGAATCTACAGAAGCCTCATCTAAATTGGTTGGAAGAACAGAGATTCAGAAAGGGCTGGCCCCTCTTTCACTTGTGGTGATTGAGAATGCAGAGGCATATCTCAGTGCAATGGTCCCCCTGAGGAGCATGATGTCTCAACCCCACGCTGGGTTTCCAGCCCTGAGAACCAGAGCCCACAGGACAACTGGCTGTGAAAATCAGCAGAGATTCTGTCCTCCAGGAAGAGGTAGGAGTCTGCTAGAAACCCAGGAGCCCTCATAAAGGGCCAGCATACAAGTATCCTTGCCACCAGCTACCTTGGCCTATGAAGAAAGGGTGGCGCAGAGTGGCCTGGGACATGTGAGGAGGCTACTTCGTATGTCTCTGAGAGAGAGCTGAAGGGATGGCCTCTCTGTGCCGAGTCTCTCTCCCACAATGCCACAGATGCCCTCACCTCTGAGTCAAGCCCTCCCTTCCTTATGCCCTCAGCCTGGGGAATGTGCTAGACCATTGTCCCGAATCCTTGTCCCCAATCCTGTGGAGCTTTACACTGCAAAGGTATGTGGGCCCACGGAGATCTCTTAAGCAGGTCTGGGTGGACTCAGGGGGTGACAGAGACTGAGTTGTGTGACTTTGGGTTGAGGGCTTTTATTCCCTTGTTGGTCTAACTGAAGCCACCATTCCAGTGCTGAGCTCTTACTTCATACAGCCAAATCTTGGTCTTTGGGCTTCAATGAATTTTATAGCCTTCCCTAATGTCTTCCTGAGACTCTGCCCAACAACAGTCCTCAGGTACCTGGTGGGTGATAAGTGGTATTTGTGTACTCTGGTACTTGTGCTGAGTGGCCTCACATCCAAAAATAAAGCTGAGTTTAAATCTGTATCAATCTGGTAAACACCACTTGCACCTACCTGATGACTCACCTCATGTAACTCACATACCAATAGGAGCTCTTTCAGTGACTGACCCCAACAGAAAGCTTGAGGCACAGGTGGATCGCCAAGTGGCTTGGGATTTTTGCTCAGCTGCCCCATGGGCTTGATGCTGGTGGAAGGAGGCAATGCTGTGTAGCTGGCTCCTCCCAGGTGCACCCTGGCCCAGCAGAGGCAGTCACAAATACTAAATCTCCTTATAGCTCCACACAGATAGCTCCACACAGGCAGATACTGACATTGACTTGCATCAGAGTTCCTTCCAAAAGGCCCCAGAACCAACACAACTGAGGGTTGGGGTGGGGGGGCTTCAGAGCGTGATCCAATTAGATCCACAAGCAGAACACCCAAATGAAGATCTAGGCATACAGCAAACTGAGCCGGCATGAATTGCTCAACATTAGTCAGCCTTTGCACAGCAGCTTGTATGTATATTGTGTGTAGTCAGCCAGCCTGAAGATCAACCCCATTCACAATCAGGCCAACAGCAATCAAGGCTTTACAAAAGGAGGGTTCATAGAACACATACAAGTGACATTCCAGGAGCATCTAACTGCGGTGATCAGAAATATTGTGCCAATGAAATTCAAAGACACCTAATACATAAGGACATTATACCAAGATTAGGATGCAAAGCAGATCTAACTAATATACAGAAACAAATAGCAAGAGGCAGCCAAAATGGTAAGTCAAACATGCCCAAAATGAAAGAACAGAAGAAGTTCCAAGAAAAAAGAACTAAATCAAATGGAGGGAAAATATAAATACAGAGTTCAAGGATATGGTTATAAAGATGCTCAAGGAACATAGCAATAACTTCAACACAGAGATATCAAGAATAAAAAAGGACAAAGAAACTAAAATAACCACTTAGAAACAAAGAAGAGAATATCTGAATTAAAGAATACACCAGAAGGAATCAACAGCAGATTAGATGAAGCAAAGAATAGGATATTTGATTTAGAAGACAAAGTAGCAGGAAGCACCCAATTAGAGCAGCAAAAAAAATTTTTTTTTAATGAGCTAGTTTCAATGACTTTAGGGACAACCCAAACCATAGTAAGATCCACATGGTAGGGGTACGAGAAGGAGGAGAAAGAGTGCAAAAAAAAAAAAAAAGAGAGAACCTATTTGAAGAAATAATGACTAAAAACTTCCCTGATCTGGTGAAAAACAAGGCCCACAAGAGCAGAACACAAAGAGAGTCCCATTCAAGATAAATTCAAAGAGGCTCACTCCAAAAAACACTTCATAATTAAAATGGTAATGCTTAAAGGCAAAGAGAGAATATTAAAGGCTAAAAGAGAAAAAAAATAGTTAACTACAAAGGAGCCCCCATAAGAGTGTCAGATGCTTTCTCAGCAGAAACATTTCAGGCTGGTAGGGATTGGTATAAAATATTCAAAATGATGAAAAAGAAAGACCTACAACCAATACTACTCTACCCAGCAAGGCTATTATTAAAAATTGAAGGAAAAATAAAGAGCTTCCCTAGAAGCTAAAGTTCGTTAAAAAAACAACAACAACAACACACAATAAAAAAAATAACAGTATTAAAGGTAATGTTAAAGGGGTTTCTACAGAAATAAAAAGAAAAAAAGGAGGAGAACATAATTATAAAGAATAAAATGGCAAAAAGTACGTACATATCAATAATCACTTTAATTGTAAGTGGTTTAAATGCTTCAATCAAAAGGCATAGAATAGACGAATGGATAAGAAAATAAGACCTCTACATGTGCTGTCTACAACAGACCAACCTTAGTGAAAGATACACACAGACTGAAAGCAAAAGGATGGAAAATTATATTTCTTGAAAATGCAAACTAAAAAGACCCTGGCATGGTAAATCAGTTGGTTAGAGCATTGTCCCAATACACAAAGTTTGCAAGTTCGATCTCTCATCAGGCATATACAAGAAGCAATTAATGAATGCATAATTAAGAGGAACAACAAATCAATGTTTCTCTCTGTGTGTCTTCCTCTCTTCCTCTCTTCCTCTCTCTCTCTCTCTGCATCTCTACTTTGGTCTCTCTTAAATTAATAAGCAACAAAAATACATTAAAATTTTTTTTCAAATGCAAACAAAAAAGCAGGATAGCAATAATTATATCAGATAAAATTGAATTTAAAATTAAGAGACACGCCGAGACCGGTTTGGCTCAATGGATAGAGCGTCGGCTTGGGGACTGAAGGAACCCGGGTTCGATTCCGGTCAAGGGCATGTACCTTGGTTGCGGGCATATCCCCAGTGGGGGGTGTGCAAGAGGCAGCTGATCGATGACTCTCGCTCATCGATGTTTCTAACTCTCTATCTCTCTCCCTTCCTCTCTGTACAAAATCAATAAAATATATTTTTTTAAAAATAAATAAATAAAATAAAATTAAGAGACAAAAAAGTCCATTGTCCTATATAATAAGCTAGTGGCCCAGTGCACAAAGTGGGGAGGGGTTCCCTCTCAGCCAAGCCTGTACTCTCTCTAATCTGGGACCCCTCGAAGGATGTCCTACTGCTGGTTTACAGGGATAGGGCTGAGGAACTCCACCCCCCCCCCCCTTGCATTATACATTTATAATGTTGTGCATTGATGACCTCTATCTAGTTCCAAAATTTTTCATTACTCCAAAAGGGTACTTCATTCTCATGAAACAGGAACTACCCATTCCCCACAGCAGTCTCTGATTTCTGTCTCTATGTATTCACTTATTGTGGAAGTGACATATAAAGGAAGCATGCAATACAATACACATATTTTCTTTTCTGGCCTGTGTTGCTCAGTTGGTTGGAGCGATGTCCCATGTACTAAAGGGTTACAAACTCAGTTCTCAGTCAGGGCACATTCTGGTTGTCAGTTTAATCCCAGTGGGGCCCATGGGGAAGGAAACTACTCCATGTTTCTCGTGCCAGTGATTCTCTTTCTCTCTCTCCCTCCAACTCTTCCTCTCTCTCTCAAATCAATTTTTAAAAGGCATATCTCAGTTGAGAATTTAACAATAAAAAATTTTGCATCGCAAACATAATCAATGATAGGTAGGCCACTACAAAATTACAAGACCAAGGGCCACACAAAATTAAATTGACAACAGGACAATTAATTTCACAAGGGAGCACGTTACCTTCGAATCTGCATTGTGTGAGGTAGGCCTTGATTCATCAATGCCAGGTTTGCTGCAAAGTCTTTACAGGAAAATATACAACAAAAATGAGTGAGTTCCTTTCTTTAAAACCAGGAACAAAAAAGTTAAGTGAAAGAGAAGCTATATGCATATCAAATAATGATTCTGGTATAATTAACTGTGAAGCTCTATTTACAAAAAGGTTTTAGTGTTACCCAACTCCATTTCTGATTTGACATCTAGTCCTGTCCCCTGCCCAAACCTCCATGTGCATGGGAAGCACATCAGGTAACTGGGAAACCAGGTAAAGGGGAGAAGACATCTGCCTAGGCCAATACATCTATGTAGTTCAGCAATCTCCATTCCCTAGGACTAAGCTCCACTCTGTGAGTCAGGTGGATGAGACCACAGTCCTTTATGCGATCACAAGAATCTTCCCAGTGGCTCAAATTCTCTTCACATTTTTCTAAAGAAACCTTGAATGCTGCTAATTCCTCTAATTAACAACCAAACAAAAGAGAAGCAACATCTTCAGGACATCCTTAAGCCCCATATTTTAATCTGCCTTTCTGGAGAACAACCCACATTCAGTGTCCTTCTTCTTAAAACTTATCTTTATCTTGTCATAAACTTCAATATTTTCATCTATTTTCCAAAGCTCTTATTTCAAACCCAACCCAGTGTTGTTCTGCTTGAAACTTGGGATTCCCTACCAGTTCCATTCTTGCCCTCTATTGACTGTGTTCACAACCCACTCCCTATATGTATATTACAAAAACTCACCAATAGAATGAAAATAAAGGGAAGAGCACTGTATTTAGCAACCTGAATTTACATCTCTGTTACACCACTTATTATGTCAGTGAGTAACCTAAATGTGCTTCCAATACTCCATGTGAGCAACCACTTGGCCAGGGTGTCAAACACAAGTTGAAGTACTAGGAAGGTTTTATTTAATTAATTGTTAGGCTTCCTTAAAATTATGAAATTTTATGTGTCTTTGATTCTGTCAATAGAAAATTGGATAACACCATAGCTAGCAGAATTGGAAAAAATATTACAAGGAAAGAAACACCAATAAAAGCAGAGAATAAAATAAAATAAACCAAAAACTCATGCAAGAAGGAATAAAGACTATAGTAACAAAGAAAAAACCTCATACAACTAAGCAAAGGTCTTAGCCTAAAGAGAAAACCAGACTGGAAAGTCAGTAATTAGAGGGATCAATTAGAAATATCCTCTGAACATATGCTTTATTTAATTAAGAAAACATGATCTACACATAGATATTCTTTACTTAGAATTAAATAATTCATTCCAAGATGAATAGATATCTTTTTACCTAAAAACCCTTCC